GGCAGGGGGTGGCACTGGGTGGGCTTTAAGGTCCCTTCCCACCCAAACCACTCTGGGATTTGATGCAACTCCCCCGTGTGTGCAGAGGGAGGGCTGTGCTGCCCCTGCTCGGCTGGGAGCGTCCGGCCGTGCTGAGGTGGAGGTCCTGTAGCCGTCCTGGCTCACTCATTCTGTGCCACGTGATTAGTGTGTGTGTGCCCATGTGTTGGAGGGGTCGTGAAGAGATCCTGCTTGCTCTTTCCTACCCCATGGTTGCCTACGTGACCTTGCTAAATTCAACACCTGCCCAGCGCACGTACGGCTGAGCATTCCCAAAGGGACCCAGAACATCCCAGGTTGCTGCGATGGGGCTGTCGGGCTGCTGCCCTCTTCCATCCCGTGAGCAGTTCCCGTGCCAGCACCTTGTACGGTTCCCCTGCCCCGTGGGTTGTGATTGTTGCTGGGCTCCATCAGACCTCGCCTCAGTTTTTCCATCCACAAAACGAGGTTGATAACCACCCGCCACCGGGAGGTTTCTGATGTGGAATGCTGGCCGTGTGCTTGCTCAGCGCTTTTGAGAATGAGAAATACTGATGGGCTGAGCTGTCTCCTCAGCTGTGAGCTGTGCCATTGTTCATCATAATCACTGCAGCCACTTCAGATACTAATTAGGTGCCGTACCTTCAAAGTGCTCTGACTAATGAAGTCTCAACGCCACTGCTGCGTAGCAAGTCCCAGTTAATTATCCCCCTTCCTTGGATGGAAAAATCTGGGCAGAAGAGTCGAAGCATCTGGTTGTGCGTAAGCTAGGATCAAAGTTGGGGCTGAGAACTTGGAGGTTCCAGTTTCCGGATGATTCTGCGGTTGCTTCCAGCCGTTGTTAGGAAGGGAGATTTCGACAGAGTCAATGAAATGTCCTCTTATTATTTTTCCAATTTTTCTTTAACTTTGACTCTTGCCTATGCTAACAGGCAGTTTGCTGATTCCTAGGCTCTTGTGCTGGTTGAGTACAAGGGATGCGCTCAGTGGGGGGAAGGTTTAGTGCTTAAACACGGTGCAGCTGCAGGAATTTTATCAGTTTATCACTGACAGTTGCCAGAGCAAAGGACACTTGAAAGCACCTCTCTCCTGCTGCCTGCTCCCTTTCTACGTGTGTACGTATTGACAGCCTTGCAGACGCTGCTCGTCAGCGTTTCTAGGTGGTGACATGGGTTAAAAATGGTTTAATTCCACTTTCCCCAGAATGTGTGACCAGCCCAAGAGCGGAGGAATCGGGAACTGAGAGCTGGCAGCACCGTGTCTGCTTCCATGAGCAGCTTCCCGGAGCTGGGAACCCGGGAGCTTGTCGCTACAGGCTCGTACGGCAGAAGCTGCAGGTTTTCGGATTTCCTTTGCTCAGCTGAGGACAAGTTCATTCTTGTTCTTCCTGGCACTTTGCTGCCCGGGAATGAGAGGAGAAAAGGGAGAGGTGTCGACCTGTGGAAATGTGGGCATCTGGCAGGGTGTAAACCCCAGGCGAGAGCAGCCACGAGCCAAGCCCATGATGTCTTTTTCTCTCCCAAGTGTG